CCGTTCATCGGAATTCAAAACAAGTTCCGTAAGCAGGCGGGGGTGCATCCCCTCTCTATCACCAACGGTTGCGTCATCCGCGACGATGCGCATAAGTCAGAGGATTTGGAGAAGGGGTTCAAGAGCTTGCGCGAATGCGTAGACAAGCTGGAGTCGCGTCTCTCTAAGGCAGAGGCCTTGCTTAGCAAGCAGGCTTCAGCTGAGACTGACAAAAAGCGTAAGGCTAACGCTAAGGCTGAGTCTGGCAGCGGCGACAAGAAGAAGGCCAAGAAGGATGGAGGTAACGACAAGGGGAAGGGCGGAGGCAGTGGCAACGGCGCCGCTGCTAAGGGGAAGGGCAAGGCTTAGACTCAGTAGCACCCAATTTCGCCCCCTCATCCCAACGTCTACAGCCGTTTGTATTTTTAGTTGTACCATTTGTACGCTCGCTAGCGTGTCCCAAAAGGGGACTTAAATGTCTATTCTCTGCGTTGTCCGTTCTTAAAATGTGTGACAGTCCTCCGGTGTTTTCATTTAATCGGTATTGGTTTTGGGTGACGGCTTGCTGCGCGATCTTGGCAACAGTTTTGTAGGTGAGGGGTACAGCCGCTGGCCCCTCTTAATTGAGCTGCCCGCGGTGAGCCAGTGGTGCTCGGTACTTCAACAATCCCGCCCTCCATTGCATTCCTTGTGGGATAGGGAGTTGAAGTTTAGACGATGAGCGGGGATCTATGTTGCGTTCGTCGGTGCTGCCTGGTCGACGTCGTGCGGCCCCTTCTCATTGCTGGATGGATGCGTTCTCTGGACCCTTGTGAATTTTGAGTTTACTTCCTATGGCTTCAAATATTGGACCAGGCGTTGAGTTCGACGACAACTCTTCAACAGCGTCCATGTCAACTGGCCGTTCGGGGGTTTCGGCCAGTAGACATGATCTATACAAACAAAACCACCCAGTCCGGGCTTTGCCCCGGCATCTTCAGAGTAGGGACTGCACGCGCCTGTGCATTTTTAATACTAAGGGAGTATTAATCCCCGAGGCTTGGCAAATACTGCGAGATGTGCTTGATGAAGGCATGTTTCGTGCTATAGCTACTCTGACAAGGATCACACATCTGAATCGCTTGCCCCGTATTGATATGTGGGTGAGAGACGATGTGGCCCCTGGCCTAATGCGTTCTATTAGGGAAATGACCAGGGATCGGACTCCTGCACTTATGGCGGTGATGAAGGGGAGGTTGCGACCAGGCGTACATGAAGGTCCTCTCTCCAGCTGGCGTGTCGCGGTGTGGCATGCCTGGCGTGACGATAAAGTCAAACCATCCCGTGAGCTCCCTGCCTTGAGGTTGAAAACAAACTCTATCTGCTCTTTGAATGTGAATGGATTTCACGCGAAGAGGGTACAGGTAGAGTCCCTGTTGGATCAGTTGAATGTGGCCATCTGTTGTCTCCAAGAGACTCTGGTGGAGGATAGACACTACCCCGTACGCCTATCCCAGTATACCACATACGCTCACCCCAAGGAAGAGGGGTTTCGAGGTCTTGCTGTCTTAGTTGACAAGCAGTACGCCTCATATGAAATCCCCCATGAGTTAGGCCTCGGCTTAATCCATGTGAAGGTAGCTGGCTTGCCCGGTTTAATGAAACCTGTCCATATTTTGGACACCTATTGTCCCAGTGGGGGCAGTCATAGGTCGTTTCGTACGAAACTCATAACTGGTGTTTCGGTCCTTACAGCAAAGATCCTTCAGGTAGACCCTACGGCGCGAATTGTAGCACTCGGAGACTTTAACTGTTCTTCCGAGCAGCTCGACCGTAAATTGGCTAGAAAAGGGCGCGCTCTTGCACGTCTGCAACCGCGAGGATCTGATCTGTCCAGGTTCCCTCTACGGGGGGTGCCTAGGGCGTTGGATCATATTCTTGCAACCGCGGACACGCATGCGTACTTTAATCGACCCCGCGTTATAAGGCGATACAATATTAGTGATCATCGTCCGATTGTCGCGAAGCTCCGCACAGTAGCGGGAGAGACGGCTTCGACAAAAAGGATCCCCACATTTCGGCACGATACTCGGATGATTCACAAATATAGTGAGAAATTTGTACATGATAATCGCTGGGCGGCACTTGCAGAACAGCCCATTGAAGAAGAGGGAGACTATGACCTGTCATCATATGTCGATACCTTTTCGGAGATAATGCATCAGACGACGCTCTCATTTGGCATTAAATCTCAAACCAGCGGTCCCTCGGTCAAATTCCCTCGCAAACTTACGGAGCTTCTGAAACGGTACAGGCGGTATAGTAAACAATACACGAAAGAGCTACGGAGCTCTGGTGTTGCCGATGAGATGACTATGACCCGCTACCGACACGCTAAGTCAGCCTTCAAGAAAGAGCAGAAGGACTGGTTGCGTCGACAGCAGGAGACTCTGTATTCCAGAATCTCAGATGACTTCATTGCGCACGATCATAAGAACGTGTGGAGCCGTCTAAAGTCCCAAGTTAATGAGCAGATACACAGTCGATCCAAAGTCCGAGGATCTGGCTGCATGCCGGTTAAGGATCCCTTGACTGGTGAACTTCAAGTTAACCGTTCCGATGTACTGAGAGTGGCTTCAGAGCATTACGAGAGAGTTCTCACGTATGATGCTGATGGAGCTGTATCGGACAAAGAGCGTTGGGATAAGATTGACCTTGGTGAGAAGTTGCCCGCCCTGAAGAATCTTAATAAAGATTTGACCTGGCGCGAGGCGCTTCAAGCCGTCCGTCGCATGAACCGTAATACGGCGACGGGTAAGGATGGCGTGCATGTAAACGTCCTAAAGGGTCTAGTGAGTGAGGAGTGTATGGCACAGTTGAAGGCTCAAAATCCAGACTGGAGGCGTCCAGATCATGTCCGTGTGGACCTCTCGAGCTCAAACCTGCCTGAAGAACCCCTTACTCCACTGGGTAAAGCGCTATGGAGAGCGCTTGTCGCGAGTTGGAAGGGTGAATCCCTACCGGATACCTGGCACGAGACTATGCTCACGCATCTCCCGAAGCCAGGTAACACGGATCCTGAAAACTTGGACAATTACTGTGGCATTAGTCTGTTATCAGTGGTTCTTAAGATTCTGCTGCAAATCATGACTGAACGTCTGCAGGGCGACGCGGAGGCTGCCAACCTCATCGCTCCTGAACAATCCGGTTTTAGAAAGCGGGAAGAGACAATAGCTCAATTCCTCGCATTGGCAGAAACGGTTCGCCGTAGGCATTTACAGGGACTGCCCACCGTCGGGGTCTTTGTTGACTTTAAGAAAGCTTACGATCGGGTTCCTCACGGCGCCCTTTACCGCGTACTAGAGCATATCGGTGTTCGAGGAAAATTCCTCAACATGGTGAAACACATTTACGATAATGCGAAGGTTGCGGTGCAAATCGATGGATTAGTTGGCAACGCGTTCCGAATGTCACGCGGAACGAAACAAGGTTGTCCATTATCCCCCCTCTTGTTTATACTGTTCATCAACCGCATTTTGCAGAAGTCTTCCGTTGCAGGCGTGTCTGTACCGGGAGTCCAGCAGAACTTAGCGGGTGGCTTATATGCTGATGACTTGATTGCACTTGAAGAGACCGTAACAGCGGCTCAGAATGTGTGCCTGAAGTTATACGAGTGGGGAAAAAGGTGGGGAATGGAATTGGGGATCTCAAAATGTGGCGTGATGCTTTGGTCGAGTGATGACTCTATACACATGGAGTTTGAAGCAGCACGTTTTCCTACACCAGCGGGAGAAATCCCGAAGGTGGAGGAGTACAAGTATCTCGGAATATGGGTCGACTCCACACTGATCGATCACAGAAACGGGTTTTTGGGTGGGGCGAGCTTGGAAATTAGGAATTCTAAGCTACGGGCCAAGGAAGGCCTAAAGGCACTATTCGTGCTTCGTCCTTTGTTCTCTGATAAGCGGTGTCCCATTCCTCTCAAGGTTGCCCTCATCCGTAACTTGATCATGTCACTTATGTTGTACGGATCAGAATGGACGGGTTTCCGCCAGACACATGCTGCACCCCTCCAACGGGTAGTGAATATTGCTATTCGGTGGGTCTTAGGGATACCGGCTATGTCATCCTCTTTTGATATGTATACTTGTTGCTATGAACTTGGCCTCCCCACTATTGAGGAGGAAATGGCGGCGCGGAGAACACGTCTGCATGCCAAGCTCGAGTACGGCACGGAGAAAATGCGCACCTGGCTGCAAATTCTCCATGATCACCGCGATGGATATAAGTCCCCCCACCCACGCTCTTATGTGTGGACTAAGTCGGGCTGGAATTACATCGATCACCTCATTGGTCGCCAGACTGGTCCCCTCCTTGAGGTGAGGGACCTCGACGGTGAGGTCGGATATGGGCATAATGTGATCAACCGGTATGCTACACGACGAAATGTTACGGACGTGGAAGAATTTGAGGCCGATCAGCTTCGACTGAAAGTCTTCCAACTCTTCACGGAGGACGAGCTCGGTACTCGAGTTCGGAATACCAGTGAAGAATCACCACTCCGCCCATGGGCGGCAAGAGCACGCATTTACGAACTGCATCAGCGCAGCAACTCGTACCGTTCACCGTTTGTTGAAAATGCACGTGCGTTAATTGTGGGGATGGACCGTGAAGGAGTAAGCGTAGAGGAGTCCGAGGAGTACTTTCACACCAAGCTTGGTCTTCGCGTCTTAGACGAACCGAGTCTGGTGGAGGAGCGACTCCAGCAGAATAAGGATATTAGTAGCAGTGATCAGGGTAGAACGCTGATGGAGTGGAGACTCGTCCGCAACGTCAGGGACTGCGTTCTAGAGTGACAGATGGCGATTAATCATCACAAATCTTTTGAGTGGTATGATTTCTGGGGCTTCGGGGCAACCCGTGGTTTCCTTCATGCTACACTGTCGCGACCCGACTTAGCTGAGGGTGTACGATGGCTTACAGCCATTCGCATTGGACTCTTTCCGCGGCTGAAAGAGACAAAATATACAGTACCCCTCGTGGAAGACGACGGTTCATTTAATACCGCCGACTGTCCACTTTGCCATGGCAAAGCTGTGGTCGGGCTCGAATGGTCACATTTGTTCATGGACTGTACCCATGGGTTGGTATCATCAGCTAGAAGGGAATTCCTTCGAGTGCCAATCGCTACAATTAAGAGTGCCCTCGCTGTCGGTCAGAAAAAGAAAAACACTCTCAAAGAGATGAGAGGCCAAAGGTTTCTCTTCTGCAGAAAAGTTTCCGGGTGAGACGTTACACCGGGTCTTTCCTGTTGTTCGTTTGGGGTGAGGGGAGGTTTACCGTGTAGTCTGACAATAAAGTAGACTTGACTGGCTATACCACTGAAAGGAGTGTGTTTTTAAGGTAAGTGAAGTCTTAAGCAAGGTATGCCTTAGAGTTCACAAGAGAAAGGAAAGGGATTTAGGATAGCAATCTCAGGTTAAGACAAAGTCAAAGATACACGAAGGTACAATGACCAGCTTTTCTTAAGAAAAGAGTAGGTGTTGAGAAAATTTGAAAGCAGCAGAAGTGGCAGATCGCTTCAGGCTTTTCACTTGCACTTCACAAAGAGAGAGTGTCAAGCTTGGGGACTTTGAGCTTTGCAGGACTTTAGAAATGATAGAATTTGGGGCAGAACTTTAGGGAAATTACAGGAACTTGAGGGGCACAGGCACATTACTACAGGAAATAAGGGGCTCATTATATACAATCTAGAAAGGGGCTGTGCTATGGATGACCAAGCTAAATTTGTAAGAACTTGCTTCGCTTACTTGATGAGAGAATGCAGGTGCTTATTAATGAAACATGAATTTAGCACTAGAATCCATGCTTGAGTCATCTATTTTCAGCCTGGAGTAGTCTAAACCAGTCTCAGGCTGATTCCAGATGCTTCTAAAGGATTCTTTACTTACAAATCTGCATTCTTTCCTGACTCATAGGGGTGTCTGATGACTCATAGGGGCATCCGATGACTAAGAATGACTTAAGATGAGTCAGAATGATCTTTTGATGAGTCACAATGGCCTTTTCTGACTCATTAGGGGCTTTATGAGTCATGGTGAGTCTTGATGACTCAATGGCCTAGTGCTTCAAGAATGAAAAGTCCATTCTGTAAGGAATGGAGAGCTCAGTTGTCGATCGATCAAGATTTGATGATCGTGCATCAGATATTAAGGTCTTTCGATCAGTTGGTGCTTGTATGGCCAGGTGGCTTCACTTTGCACACTACACCTTCCTTTCTGAGACTCCTTATCTTATCTGGTATCACTTGGAGATTGCCGAAATTGAAGGTTTGATCAGTTATTGTTCAAGAAAGCTGAGTTGAGTGACGCACTCTTCTTTCTTCAAACACCGCACTCTTTCTTCTGAAGTGTGTACTTGCCAGTATTATCGTAAACTTTGGTAAGTTTGCTAAGCATCCTATTCAGACCTTCTGGACATATCTCTAAGTCCATAGGATCTTTTGTGGACGAATTAGGTGCTTGCGCGGTACTTTGAACAGTTGGTATTTTCTCAGAAGTTGGGAATACGTTGAAAAACCCTTTTGACAATATGAGCTGGGTACGTATCTTCAGATCATTTAAACTCTTCATAACTCATTAAAGAGTGATCCCCTTGTAGATCGAAGAAATGAAGGCTTTGGAGCCTCCTCCTTCAAGTACGAAGGTGTTTCTTGAAATCTTTGGTATCATCTGTGGAGTCGTAGCCTTCCTTTGTGGAGTGTATCTTATAATGAGGTACATTATTAAACGTGAAGATCGCTCTAGGAGTTCAGGAGGAGGACTGTCATCGTAAAACATGTACTTTGATCCATATTCATTATGTTGCCTATCTTCACCTCGCCAATTTATAGATTATTTATTCATCATCATGTCACCGTAAAGTAACATGCTTGAAGATGCGAATAAACAATAGTCTTGACTGATCTGCAGTCATTTCCGGTCTTTTCTGAGCATACACAGACTTTACCAGTGTTGAAGGTCCAGTTAAGCGCCTACTGCTGACGTGGCACTGCCAGGCGATGATACTTGTCTTTAGAAGCTGTCTCCTTCAGACAGATTCGAGTTTCAGATCCACCTGTCTTGAGATTAGGTAAGTCTTACTCCTTCTAGTCTGGTTTGGTCATATTCACATTCGACTTTCAGATTCTGAAACTGCCTCATGGCCACTACTACGTGTGTCACCTTGCATGTGTGTTCAGAGTATCAGTCTAATGTCTTTTTCTGACCTATCGCTTCTTTAGGATCATCCTGGAGTCTTCCTCAGCTGCTCCCACTCCTTTGGCTTATACCATGGTCTCTAAGCCAACAGTAATTGGAGTCGTCGTCCTCCTTGGTACTTTGATGTTAATCATGGTCGCCTTGTGGCTTTGGTGTATGTTCTTTGCTCCTCGACGCATTTCTCGTGGTGCACGCAACCATGCAGCAGCTCCTATTGCAATGGTCTCATTGTCTTCTATTCACTTCAAGACAGTTATTGTCCCTTCCACTCCTTCATCTTCAT